CCGGCGGCTGGCCCCAGGCAGGGTCAGGGTTTGCCACCGCGCCGGGGCTCGTGTGGCCCTGGCTCGACCCACCACCCCGGATCGTCTCCTTCCCCCGAAATGGATGAGGGGTGGCGGTAGCCCCGGGGAGCCACGGTTCTGACTGGCGGGACAGGCACTGAGTTAATTATAGGAAGAGGGAGGGTCCACAGACAGGTCCTGGGCTTTAGGAAATTCGCCTCTTCTAACCTCCACTGTGCTCCCCGCCAGGGGAAAGCCTCTAAGGAGAGAACCCCTGGACCCTCCAGGTCTTAATAACGTGGTTATCTCCCCTCCAGACACCAGTCGCCTCCCTCATGTGGTGGGGATTGTCCCCGCCCCCTTTAAGTTCTTGTTTATGCTTTATTCGTTTATATTAAGTTTAAAAGATACCCTGTCTCCTCCTTGACTCACTGGCTGCTTCTGTTTATCACTGGAGTACACAGGCCACAGCGTCTCTTCCTCTCACCAAGATTAAGTTATCAAATGATTTCTGTCCAGTGTGGCCAGAGCTTCCAGGGAGTAGATGACACCATCCTGAGCTGAAGGGACAGGAGATGAGCTTGAGCAATGCAAACCCAGGCCCACTTTCTTGAGGTGGACTCCCGAGGGTGCTTTCCAGGGAGCAGAGGGATGGAAGAGGACCAGACACATCTCCAACCTCCACGGACCAGCTTCTAACAAAAACTCCCTCCCAAAAAGACCATGAAAGAGGAGTAAAGAGGCACAAATTTAAGCATAGTCGTTAGGACATCAACTGCAGAGTCTTGCAGGAACCTGCCTGAAATGAAATGTGTAGAAGCTAACGTTTGTTTTACTAAGGGGTGCTTCCTTAAGTCATAGTTCCTTGTCTTCTTTTTTGTTTGTTTTGTTTTCTTTAAAGTGTAAGTTTGGAGGGTTTCCTATACTTTGATTCATTATTTAAGGACTAGTGGCCCAGTGCACAAAATTCATGCACAACAGTGGGGAGGGGGGAGTGGTCCCTCAGCTGGGCCTGCACCCTCTCCAATCTGGGACCCCTCGGGGAATGGGATGTCCAACCTTGTGGGATCTGGCCTAAACCAGCAGTCGGACATCCCTCTCACAATCCGGGACTGCTGGCTCCTAGCCACTCACCTGCCTGCCTGCTTGCCCCCAACTACCCACCCCCTGCTGGCTTGATCGCCCCCAACTGCCCCCGCTGCCAGCCTTCTCACC